AACCAGTTAAAATAATTTTTTTCTCTAAATTAAGCAGTTCTCGTGTAATATTAACCTCTATATATCTATGTATAATTATATATTTTTTGCAGTATAGTTATATATATCTATATGAGAATGTATACATATAGTATAACCATCTCACTTAATTAGTAAATTTACTTGATTATGTACTCCTATATATATTAATCTTCAACAATTATCGTGGATTATTTCATGCAGACATGAGTGTTAAACAAAATAGCAATCATTTATTAATTTACATATGATGAAGTAGATTTTTATAATTAGTACTAAACTTGTTTGTAAGCTTAACTAATTTATAACTACACTAATTAATCACATCTCCTTTCGTTAATCTTCATGCGCTAGCTATATATGTAATGCTGGTTTCCATATTAACCACTGCATTCTAACACGTTAGCTTATTCTCTACACTGGCTGGCAATGGCATGCCAAAATTGGATTTATAAACTGGTTAATTGCTAAAGGCCGGCTAGGGTTCCATATTAAAGTTCGTTTAATAGGATGATGAGCAAAAATGCACTCCTAAAAACTTGGTCCCCCTAGCATTAACATCCTTATTAGTAATGGTAGCACTAGTACTCTTTAACGGCAGTTCTCCAGGAAATGAGTTATTAATCAATTGTTACAGAGTCAAATTTTGTTCAAATCTATAAATGAGATACAACACAAAACACACACACACACACACACACACACACATATATATATATATATTTCCAAAGGAATGATACAAACTAGAACTGCATGTATTTATTTGCAGAATTCCATTGCTATAACATCAATCACATTACTGTAAAAAAACAAGATTGTTGTGCAGGCCACGAAAAATCAGGATTATGATTGATTGTTTTCACAGCCGCATGCTGTATGTTAATCTTCTTGATCACCTTCAAGTTGGTCTAGGGTTAGGGTTACTGTGTTGCTCATGAAAATCAAAAACCCTAATTTTGTCCTGTTGGTAAAGTATTCAACTGGCAATCAACCCTAGCAATGCTCCTCGTTAATTTAATGACGCATCAACAAAAATATCGACATTATGTATAAAAAGAAAAGTATAAATACAGAAAGGTGAGTTTATTGGAACGATCATATACCATGCCAACTGGTAATCAAGTCTAGCAATGGTCTCTGGAGAGTGCCCATCCTACATATGGCCTATCTATGTACAGCAAGGAAGTCTATGTAGGTTATCTAGGCTTAATATTAGATGGCACAATGATGATGGTGATGAACATGTCACATGGCTAAAGGTAGAAGACAAACCCTAATACGCTGCATGCAAGCGCACAATTTTTCATACTTATTTCTCAACAGTCTCAAATTATGTTAAGCTATGCCATGATGCAAGAATACTGACTCTTTTGAACTGGCGCACAAACTTGCATGGACCACATTAGGGTTCTAGCCAACTTTCTCTTCTACAATTGTTTACTAAGATCAAAATTGCAGTGATACGGAGAGAGAGAGAGAGAGAGATTATTGAGCGTTTGTGGTAAGAATTTTAAATGCATCCATAGTAACAGTGGGGGTGTACTGTATGGAGTTTAATGGACTTTACTTGACTATCAAATTCAAGTGTATTCAATAAGAATTTTAGGAGTAAACAAAAGTCACCCTGTATTAAATTAATAAAATGTTCATTTGGAAGTGTTTTTAAAATGATTGAAAGCACTTTAAATAAAAAGTTTTTTTGCTCCAACTTTTTGGAAGGAAGCATTTCAAGTGTTATATCAAGATTCATTTGTTTTTTTACTAAGAATTGATTCCAAAAATATTTTCACTAAAATAGTTTTCAGTCATTTTAAAATATTTTTAAACGAGTCCAAAGACTTTTATGACTTCAAAAAAGTCCATGAAAGTATCTTGTGGTATTCAATTATGACTTTTTGTAAGTCTTCAAAAGTTTATGTGTATTCAAAATTTCATTGATTTTAATATTTTTTTTTAAGTCATGGTTTTGATGGACTTTGATTGCTTTTATAGTAAGTTTTTTGTCACTACAAATCCAACATCTTCCCCTAAATTTTACCTTAATGCAATGACTATCATTATCACTACTCCCACCACCGTGTTGCCACTACCACCTTTTTACCATGACCATCTCCTCCACCTCCACCACCACCACTGTCACTGTCGCCCCAGCCATTGCCATCTTCATGAGCATATTTGCCACCCCTACTATGATCTCGACCGACTCTATCATCACCATGATTGCCATCTCTACCACCATCATCACCACCACCCCTATCCCTACTCCTTCCCCACCCCGCCACGGCAATCACCACCTCTATTATTATCGCCATCACCAAATACACTAATTTTACTACTACTATCTTGCCAACAATCATCACGTGTCACTTTGTCATAGTGTTGTTCACCATTTTAATTTTAAAAAAAAAAAAAAGTCGTCAGTGAAGGCCCAAATTTTATTTCTTTTATCGAAGCCGAAGCCCAAACCCGGAAACAGGAAGAACCGAAGTGTTTTCAGAGTGCCAAGCGAGAGAGACGGATAAAAAAAAGGAGCGAAAAGCAAAGAGCGCCATGGAGTACAGATGTGTAGAGTGCGGCGGTCGCATGACGACTCTGTTCGTCCAATACTCTCCTGGCAACATTCGTCTCATGAAATGCGTAAATCCCTTTTTATTTATTTATTTATTTTTATTTTTTATTTTTTCTGCTGCTACAAAATTGGTTTGATTTTTCTGTGAATAGGGTAATTGCAAGGCAGCTGCAGACGAGTACATCGAATGCGAACCCATAGTAAAGCTCCTATCTTTTTTCTTCAATTTTTTTCCTTCAAAATTCAACAAATTTGATACATTTTTTGTTGTTTGCACTGCCAGATTATTCTGCACAAGACCAAAGCTTACACACATTTACTTTATTCTGCACAAGACCAAAGTTTACACACATTTACTCGATAATGTCATCGACCCACAAGCTCCTTCTTTCCAGGTACTGAAAATTATGCTGCTTTTTGCTTCTGGGGTTCTACAGTTTTACTGCTTCTTTGAAAATTTGAGTTCCCAGGAGTTGCTTATTTGTTTTTTTTTTTAATACCCTTTCCAGGGTTTATTGTGGAAGTCGACTTTCGGATTTCTTCTGTTGGATGCTTGTATCCATTACCATGCTTGTCAGGATTTTGTTTTTGGAAATTTGAATTTTGATTCTTTTTGCAAAAGATGTGTTTATATATGCATTGGGTGCCTTAGCAATGTGTAAAGATAGGAGCCTCTTCCTGGAAAGAAGCAAGGAAGAATGGGGCTTGTCCATGAGCTTCGCTTCGTTACTTTGGAGATTTCAAAAGGTTGGTGGAATTTTTATTGGATTTCATGGGTTTCATGCATCTAGGATGGTTTATTATAAGTTTTAGCAGATGGTTAAAATGTTCCCGTTTCAGTTTCCTATGATAAGAAATGTTGTTCCTATTTCAGATGCTGATGGATATTGTCTTGGAAATATCATGTTTCTTTCAACCTTTTCACTCGCTATGAGGATTCTTTTCAGCACATTCCCCAGACCGCTCAGGTAACATTTCTTGTTGATACTTCTCAGGATGACAGTGAATTTATATCAAGATTTTAACGGAGGCATCTCCTTATTTACATGTCTGTTTGGAAACTTGTTCAAGAAGCACGCCTGTTTGATCAGTCGGTAAAATGGGTGATGATGGGTGCTCAAGCTTATACTGAGAATAATAACGATTAGGAATTTGGTCGGGCTTAAGTTGATATGGTTCAAGAGCACAGTTTGAAGTTTAGGGAAAAATATTATAGAACACATAAGAAAGAAAGACAATTTGTGATCACCCGTGAGTCATGGATTAAAAGATAACTGGATTGTTTTAGCCAATAGATACATACATATATACAAACCCTAACATACAAATGTGTGATATTGTCAATTCTGGTACAGGTATAAGGAGCTTCTGCTGGCAATATTGATTTCAAGTTACTTCAAATGTTTCTTATTGCAATGATGGTATGGTTTGGAAATCAAATAGCCTGTTTTTCTTTCTTGCATATTTGTACTTTTCTCCAATATACTTGGTTACACTCAACGCATATCTAATGTAAGCATGCGTTATGCGTTCTACAGGTATGGGAATATCCTTCTGTGATTTTGATCATTGATATATTTGTTTCATCATCCAACACTGTGGCACTCAAAGGTCAGATGATAATGTATTTACAGTCCTGGACATGATTTCAAAGTTTGCAATTTTCAATGCAGATTTTCATTAACTAAGCCTCTATGTATGTGTCAACTTTACCAGTGAACTATCATCACAAATTGTTACGGCAAAATGCTATTGCTAGATGCTCGTTCATCCTATTACTTTAGGTTTAAGGATTACACATATTGTTTTATGATATAGAATAGATGTCCTGCCTCGATTTGATGCAGAGGTGTGCGTTAGCTAACATTAGGTTTACTAGTATAGACTCTTACTCTAAGGATGGCTAACTGCAGCTGAATATCCTTATTTTCTTCTTTGTTTGAAACAGTGATAGCTCGGTCACCTATGAGTAGATGTATAGCAGCCTGCTTCAGTGCTCATGTGGTAAAGGTTTTGGTCACACAAAGGTGCTGGAGTTGGGAACTTTGAGATCTTAAATCATTGTTTGTCGAATTCTCTCCCTGCATTGAAATGCAGCATTTCTTTAGACTCGTATGCTCATTTACTAATCTTTTGAACAAATAGATCAATACTTCCAGCAAAGGCGGTGGTGGTGTTGACTGCTGTAAACTGTGGTGTAAATATATAAGATGTATGTTACTGTTAGTCCATTCAGTTCTCCTTGGCGTATTAATATAAATTTTCAGCTTTAGGTTTTGACCCGTGGATTGCCACTTAGTACTACAATATAGTGATTTCCCTCTTCACTGGAAGGTCATAGGTTCGAAAAATGACGGGTTTGATGCTACTTTATGCCGACTGCAGGGCTTAACATTGCGGGTTCAAATATGAGGAGAGAATATAACACACAACATTAACATACAGGAAATCAGAAATGCTGCACAGGAACGCAGCAGCTGATACAGGGAAATTAATTAAAGCAATATTTACATAAGATGGGTGTTTAATTCTGAAGGTTATCATAGGATTAAACCCAATCATACTCATCCGATTTTGATAATGATTGTAATTACTACTCCATTAGGGATGGAACCTCAAATTTCAGTACCAACAACCAAGACATCACCATTAGTGTTTGGTCATTGTAATATATTTGAGACTCCAGCAGCCATGTCGCAGCAGATCCTGTAGAACGCCATTTCCAGAATAATCGCCTGTGGAACGAAGGACTCAGTACGAGTCTAGAACTAGAACTTGGTATCGAAGTATTATACCATTGCCCATCGGGGACTTGATTGATGGTTTTGAGGAGATGCTTCGGTGAAAGAACCCTATAGTTGCCTGCTTCAAAACCGTATGCTTCCAAGACTCGGTTTTTGTTTTCTTCCAGGGCAGATGAAGAGCAATGCAATACTCTGCAGCTTCCCTAACCTGCAAATAGAGTTAACAGAAATCAAATTAAGTTGAGTGAAAACGGAAAATAGCCACCCGAAGCTTCAATACAAGAGCTTTTATAAACTATTTCAGATATGATTGCTCACCTTGTCTTGCGATACAGCTCTGCAGTCGGATTCTTCTCAGAGCAACTCCCAGTGGCCAGATGCGAGTGGATGATGGTTGAAGACAATTTTACTGAGTTCCTAACGATTTTGGATGAAGAAAGTAGACTATTTGAAGACAATTTGCTGAGGTTCGACTTTTGATGAAGAGAGTGCATTATTTGAAGACAACTTTGCAGTCAGATTCTTCTCGAAGCAACTCCCAGTGGCTGGATGCGAATGGATGATGGTTGAAGACAATTTTGCTGAGTTCCTTACGGTTTTTGATGAAGAAAGTAAGTTATTTGAAGAAGATTTTGCTGAGGTTCGTACACTTTTGATGAAGACAAGTATGCTGAGGATGATTTGTAGTTCTGCTGACAGGAGAGACATGGTCTCCAAACAATTGCTTCTGTGAAAAGACATATTTGCTTTATCTGGACTCGTCGGGGGAGAGTAGATTTCCAGATGTTTTCTCAAACACTGGCTGTTGCTGCTGTTTCTTTGAACTAACATGCTCACCTAACAAGCCTTGAAGTTTCTAAAGCTAGGGAATGCTAAAAAATGGCCAAAAGGAACAAGAACAGGCTTAGCTAACCTACATCGTTGTCCTGGACATGATCGTCCAAAAACTAGCAGAAGAAGTTTCTAATGCCTAAAGTTCCTGAAATGTAGATAAGGGCGATGTTTTACTCTTGCTAGAGCTCTTGGGGTTTACAAGGCCCCTAATGCTATTTTCTGATACTAAGTTGTTTTTCAATAACTAACATCTTGCCGGTCGCTAGCCATGTTGATGTGTTTCTTGAATGGGTAATACCGACTAAACCTATCTTGCTGCGTTTCTTACTCCACAGTTGCTATCTTACACTAGTGCTCGTGACTCATAGAGTCACCAAAATCCTGTATGTTGTTTCTTCCCAGGATACCAACTTACTAATCCTGGTCAACAATGATAAACCAAGGACTATGGGAAAAAAGTTGCAATCTCCGTGTCATCTAGAGACGGCAACTCATCACTGCATCCAATATATTTACTGGCATGCACAAATTCTCCCAAATCCGTGTTCATTGGTGACATCAACAAGTAATCAAACGGACCCATACGCTCTTCTGGATTAAAAAAAGCCTGGATTAAGAATCGTAAACAGAAAGCGTTAAGTTTTGATGTAATTTTGTGCTCTATATTAGAAAGTTCATATAAAATGAAGGAAACAACTTCTCACCTCTGAATCTGTAGCTCGATCTTGAACACCATTAGCGAGTTTGCTGACTTGTTCATTGGGATCATTGGTTGAAATACTATTCTTGTATTCAGGAGAAGAAATATCATCCGGGCTTAAAGATTGCCGCTTTGTGCAATCTCCATAGACATAGGGATCAATTCCATGCCTAGTGTGTAATGGTTGCTGCAGTGTGGAGGGGCAGTAATCCTGTGGTTGATGTGGCTGTGGTGACTGCAGTGGCTGCAGTGTGCGGGGGTAGTAATCTTGTGGCTGATGTGGCTGTGGTGTCTGCGGTGGCTGCAGCGGTTCAGAGGGTGAATTTGGAATCTCTCCCTCAGCACACAACTGGTGGATTAAGAATCACAAGCAAGCAGGTGTTAAACTTTGGTTGGCTTTGCAACTTCATACAAAAAATGTGGAAAAAGCATATGATTATCTCACCTCTCGAACCATATCAGATGCAACTGGATCATCGAAATTGAATTTCCAGCCACCTGTTCCATCATCACCATCATCAATGGTCAAAATGCCATTGCAGTCCATAGGACAAGAACCATCTGGAGACTCAGACCTATTAACATCTCCTGGCTCTTTGGATCCCAAATGTTCCACTGGCTCCGCAATCACATCACTAACAGCATCTCGATCTTCTTCAGAAGTCACTCCCGAATCAGCTAATTCGCCACAGATTGAATCAATCTTCGGCTTCTTATAACTAGCTGAGTTGTTCTTCAGACGGCAGATGACAAAGTCCATCCGCTTGGTGGGTTTAGAACCCACCTCAGTTTCAGTGAGATAATACTCATGTACTATCCAATCGGTCTTCGTTGCATTGGGCACACGACCTTCGTAGAAGGTCAGAGTCCTCTTCTTCCCAATCACAGCTTTGGACTGTTCAGCCTTGATCTCACGTTCCTTGCCTGTGATCTTGTAAAAGCCTTGTTCTGTGGCCCGGTTACAGCGAGTGCTGTTGACGTACTTGTAATCGGGCCTGCTGAAGAAGAACCACTCCTTCTCGTGAACGTCTGGGTAGAATGCTGAAATCCAACAACAAAAACAAAATGTTCAGAATTTGAAACCAACCACTCCAATTCTTGAAGTACAAAATCACAAAAACTGAAAAAAGATCATTACAACAAAAACTAAATATTGAAATGTGAGGCCAACCAAACTTCAAATCTTGAAGAACAAAAAAAAAAGCACAAAGATTGTAAATTTACGTAAACAACGTCATAATCCATCAGAAACAAGATACGGGTAGTGAAGAGAAAGAAAGGTACAATAATTGGTTACCTGGAAGATCGCAGGGCTCGTGCTTGCTGACATCGATTTCAGGGATGAAGTGGCGGAAATGGGAGTCAGTGCCCTCTATCTTCTTCCTCAAGTAGTGGCTGACCAGCAACTCTTCAGTGGGGTAGAATCTGAACCCAGGCAGTGGGATCACATTCACACTCACTGCATCTCCTTCCTCAGCTGTCATGCCGCTGCGGTTGCTGCTGCTGCTACTGCTCATCTCTCCTCTCTCTCTCTCTCTCTCTCTCCGGTCCAACTGTGATTATTGTTATTGATCAGTGTTTTGGATTGTGTGGGGAAGCAGCATTTCATCCGTGTTGTATTTATAAACACTTACTACACTCATCAAAGACCCACTTATCACTCAAAGCACTGGTGTTTTGAAAGTTGACTAGTGGTTTTTCCTAGTCCTTGAGCTTATGGTGTAAGTTCATCTTTTGCTCCCTACACTTTTGGTTTCTATCATTTTGGTCTTCCAACCTTTTCTTACCTTTTCTTATCCAATTTAAATTACATTGTGATAAATTTTAACTTTAGTGACAAGAGAAGGGGAAGAACATACTGTTATAGCTAACTTGGCTGCGCTTAATTTATACGATGTTAATTACAAATCAATTTTAACTTAAGCGACGTGAGAATAGTACACTGTTCTAACTAACTTGGCTACGCTTAATTTTACATGATTTTAATTATAAATTATATTACTACTCTAGGTAACAACACTAAGAGTTATGGGAGAGCTTAAACGACGGCGTAGTGCGTTGAATAATAAGGTCTTATCTAAACAAGACAATCCACCACTTGATTTTCATTCAACTAGAAACCCTCCAAATTGAATTGCACACACCATTTACTTTTATTTTTTGACAAGAAACGACAACGAGATTTCATTAATCAACCAACACCATTACATCGTTACAGAGGTGCCAACCACATGGAACCTAAACTTTTAATTTTTTTTTAACAAATCATATTATCTACACTAAGGAGGCGAGAGAGTGGGCTAAGCCTCATAATGAGCTAGTAATAATATGGTTCAAATTCGTCATTGATAAGAATCGAACCTGAAATATCTCGCTTACCAATGAAAAGGAAAACCACTAACTATAGTACTAAGTGGCGAATCCAAATCATTTATTAGGTTGTAAAGAATTGTCCTCATTTGCCACACATTTTTAAAAAGTTAGGGGACCAATTTGGTTATTAAAAAAAAAAAAAAGTTTACCCAAATAGAACAAATACCAAAACTGAAGGTGCAAATTTATAATGAAGTCTTGAGCTTGTGATACAAGTTTACCTTAGTCACGATCATGGCTGCGTCATATATGTGGATGACATCAACGTCTTTCAACGCGGTAGTTTTAAGTTATAATTTTGTCCTGCCGTGGGAATCTTCTGATTCTTATCCGCCCCACCTGAGGCAAACTGCACCTAAGGGTTATAAGAATCATTTAGGTGGTTACACTTTTTTGCAATCTAACAGCTCAGGTTGTGCCACATGGCTCAACCATTTTATTCTTATCAGCCCCTCTCGAAAGGTTGAGCTTTATTAACCTTGTCCGATATTTTTTGGAGGGAAACATACGATCGGGAGAAGTCGAGAACTTTCTAGACTCTGAAACTTGGGAGCTTTGCTCACAAGTCACAAGAAATAATTGTTTAGAGTAGAGTGACAAGAATGTAGTTTTAACTGTCAGGACCAGATAACGACCAAAGTGAAGGGGTGTGGACCAAAGTCAGTATTCGTCCGTACGAGGGATCGCTGAATTTCATAGCAGACTAGCCTTCATGCATGCACTCACATGCTTGCAGAAGATATTTTTTGAACTACAACGTGATACGCTTGATTTACACGTTTTAAATGTATTTATATGCGTTAATTGCTTCAATATTTTTTTTTATGATAAAAAAGTCAAATATTTGAAGTAAATGAATAATATTCTAACATGCTAGAAGAAACCCCTCATAAACCAATCAAAGCAGCTGAATCTACATAATAAAATCGGTCTTTCAATATTCATCTACATTATATTGAATTTACATTAAGAATAGAGAAAATAATATTTAATAAACAACTGATTGAATTACATTATTGCTAGCTCATTGTGAGACTAGGTCCACCCCTCTCCCTTAGTATAGAAAACATCGTTTGTTAAAAAAAAAAAAATCATTTGACAACTAATTGAATCACATTATTATGCACGTGCAAAAGACATTTTTTATAATTGTCACTACATGCCTCTTAAGTGTTTAAAAATACAAAAAAATAATACAACTTATTGAATCACATTATTGTGCGCTGGTGAAAGACCTTTTTTTTTTATCACCAGCGGTACACGGCTCTTAAGATGTTTTGAACATGTTTAAAAGTAGAGAAAATAATATTTAATAAACAACTGATTGGAACACATTATTGCTAACCCAAATATGAAATTCAAAGTTTCATGTGAATAGAAGCTGAGTGCAGTGCCACGCGGGCCTCACCGCATGCATGTTATCAGCTCAAATGCCTAAACTTGCTCGTGAACTGCATGCGCCTGACGCACAAAATTTATATATCTAGGTGACATCACTCTGACGTCAGACAATCTCAAGCGAGGAGTCAGGCCATGCTCGCCCGATTGCTCGGTCCTCGGGAGATGGGCCCACTAAATGGCCTTACTAATAGGCATGCGCTGGAGCAGATTTTAGAGGAATTGGGGGATTTAATCAGAGGAGGATTCTCTACCCTCCTAATCTCTCTACCCTTCCATGTCCTTCTATTTGAATGGTTATGGTTAAGCCACATCAACATCTTATATTGATTTTTTAATAGAGATAATAAGACAAAAAAAAATATGTGAAAGAATGGGATGGAAGAGGATGAGAATAGGAAGGTAGAGAATCCTCCTCCGATTTAATCACCAATAGGTGGGACAATTTCGAGGGGTGGACATGCTCCAAGTAAGTTGAGCTTTGGTAATTTTCTCCAATATTTTTTTGGAGGGAAACATATATTCCACTGAAGTCTGAATGAAGGCAGAGCACTACATCACTACGTTAACTGTGCATGTCCATGACAAGAATGGTAGTTCAAAGTATAACAGATGTCGAGTTTGTATATGGGTATGGCTTACTTGTAATACTTGCGCACGTGTATAATTTAGATGAATTACACCGGTGGAACTTATTTTGATTGGATTTTTTAAGAGCACGAGTGATTTACAAGAAGTAAAACTCCAACAACCTGTAAAAAATTTGACAATTTAAAATATTTCAAATTAAGTTCTTCACAGTAACAATCTAACTCTTAACCATTCTTCTCTTCCCAACGTTTAATCTCAAATTCGAATTCTTCTTTGCCTCTTTCGTTGATTCATTGCTTCATTTTGTCTATTACATCAGCAGCCATGATATTGAAATGCCCGAAACCAGTATTTAAGTGACAAAAATAGCAGAAAACATTTGCCACACTTCATAAATAAAGCGAAAAACCAATACAAAATACTCCATTCAACATTCAAATGTTCAAAATAAACCACATTCACAAAAATATTTTCTTTTGATACAACATTCTCAAAGACATGATAATAAAAGCAATATTAACAAAGATACAAGTTTTTGTGTTTCACACTTAAAAAGTAGGTCATCGATAAGTTTAAGACCTTCAATTTTGATCATACATGTTTTTTGAAATATAATTGTAACCACTACTCCATCAAGGATGGAACTCAAAGCTCCAACTTTCATAACCAAGACATCACATAAGTGTCTGGTTATGTTAATATATCAGTTGAGTCTCCAGCAGCCGTGTAGCAGCAGCTCCTGTATAGTGAAGGCGGAACAAAGCAAATCCGCTTTTGATCGAAAATCATAGGACATGGTTGGAATTGAAACGTTGTTACCCTGGACGATTTGATTTATCGCTTAATGGAGATGCTTCCGGGAAATTGAAAGAACCCTTCCAATTCGCTGCGCATTCCATGCCTGCTTCAGACGGTATGAGCAGACAGCAATACAATGCGCTAGCTGCAGCTTCACAGTCCTGCAAACAGAAATCAAATTAAGTACATCAGTGAAAGCAGAAAATAGCTTCTCGGAGTCAAAGGTTAAGCATAAGAGCATTCATTTAATCACGGTGCAAAGCCAGAAAGTATTCACTTCCATGTTTTCAGCTTGATTTTCTCACCTTGTTTCTTGAAACTGCTCTGCATTCGGATCCGTCTTGGAGCATCTCCATGGGGGTAAACAGGAATGGATGTTGGTGGATATTGCAGTTGTCTGAGGAATATCTATAGTTGTGTTGATAGAATAAGTCCCGTCTTCAAATAATGCTTCTGAGAAAAGACATTATTACCTTATCTGGACTCGTTGGGTTCGGAGAATCCAGATAGCAGTTCAACCATTTGCATTTTCAGGTGTTCCTTTGTACCAACAAAATTTCACCTAACAAGGTTGAAGTGTACAGGACTTGGAGATTCTGTGGCACACAACAATGATTTCGGACATAAAAGGTCCAAAACCAATACTGCGTGTCAAAGACTACATATCTTGGTTTCAGAAATGTAGACAATTGAAGGTGTCTTTGAATTATTTGTAGGAGAATATCACGATGTAATAATGCGAGTTTAAGACACATTCTTACAAGGCCCTCTTAATATTCTCCTACAGATAAGGGTATCGTTGTTCATTAACGATATTGGAGTGTTTCTCCAATAGCTAACGCAGAATAATCTTTTGCACGTCCGTGGAGTAACTCAGCATTAGTATCACTGGTTTACTCCACTATCCCCATCATACACCCATCCCAATGACTCTCATAGGTTGGAGCCATTGGAAAGAGTGTACGATGCCTCTGTTATTCAAGAACTTTGCGGGAAAAGAGTCGCAGGCTCCATATTGAAAGATTGCGACTCGTTGTGTCCAATACAGGTATTGGCAAGCAGAAGCTCTCCCAGTTCTGAGAACAATATAGGTGACTGCAATGGGTAATTCTGTAGCTGATGAAACAGTTGGAAGGGTGATCCCCGATTTTCTTCTGGCTGAGAATAAGCCTGGATGAAAAGTCATGACAAGCAAGTGTTAAGTTTTGATGCACTTCTGGTGCACCATATTCAGTTCATGTAATAAAAATTCAGTCTAACCTCGGAAATCCTTTCATTTGTAGCACAATTTGGAGAATTATGAGTGATGTTGATAACTTGTTCGTTGTCATAATTGGTTATAATGTTGTTCTTATTTGTAAGATAAAAACCATTATCCCCAATTGGAGATGGACAGTTACTGAATTTGCCGATAAGGGCATCTGGAACATCTCCCAGCTGGTGTGGCTGATGTGTTTGAGGTGGCTCGGGAGGAGGAAAGGGTGAATCCAAATCTTTTTGTAGCCCAGCAGGAAACTGCCATATTTAAAGATGGACAAAACAAAGCCAAGGTTAAATTCTGAGTAACTTCTTGTGTTTCGTATTACCAAGTTCACATCAGAAATCTTTAAAATGCGTATTCATCCTCACCTCCAGAATCATATCGTTTAGAGCTTGATCAATAAAATAAGATGAAATACCGCTACTAGGTTCACCATCACCATGATTACCATTGCCAAGCACAGCAAGTTCTAGCTGTTTGTATGTCAGAATTTCCTCTGTGTTGGAAATCACATGATTCATTGCAGCAGCTTGGTTATCAGTATTATAGGTCATGCTACCACCAGTACCAGGATCAATTGATTCATCACTACAGACATCAGGAGCATTTCCAAGCTGAGGTGGCTGATGTGGCTGAGGTGACTGGGGACAAGGAAAGAGTGAATTCAGATATTCACCTGCAGGAGCACATGACTGCAATGTGTAATTCTGTAGCTGATCAAACCGTTGAAAGGGTGATCCCCGATTTTCTTCTGGCTGAGAATAAGCCTGGATGAAGAATCACGACCAGCTGATCAAACCGTTAAGTTTTATGTATTTATGGTGCACCATATTAAGTTCGTATAATAAAAAGTTCATTCTCACCTCGGAAATCCTTTCATTTGGAGCAAGATTTTGAGAATTATAAGCGATGTTGATAACTGGTCCGTTATCATAATTGGTTGCAATGTTATTCTTAATAATATCATAAGAATCATTATCCCCAATGGTAGATGGCCAGTTACTGAATTCGCCACAATGGACGTCCGGTAAATTTCTTAGCTGGTGTGGCTGAGGTGGCCCGGGAGGAGATAAGGGTGAATCCAAATCTTTTTCTAGCTGATCATAAAACTGCCATATTAAGATTCACCAAACAAAGCAAAGTGTAAATTTTGATATACTTCTTGCAATTCGTATTGCCAAAATTCACATCAGAATGTTTAAAAACGAGTATTCATCCTTACCTCCAGAGTCATATCATCTACAGCTTGATAAATAAAATCAGATGAAATGCCGATACCAGGTTCACCATCATCATGATTGCTACTGCCAAGCACAGCACGTTCTGGCTGTTTGTCTGCCAGAATTTCTTCTGTGTTGGGAACCATATGATTCATTGCAGCAGCTTGGTTATCAAAATTATAGGGGATGCAGCCACCAGTACCAGAACCAGGATCAACTAATTCATGACCATAGATATCAGGAGCATTTCTAAGCTGAGGTGGCTGATGCGGCTGAGGTGGCTGAGGTGGCTGATGCGGCTGAGGTGGCTGAGGTGGCTCAGGAGGAGGAAAGAGTAAATCCAGAAATCCTCCTAGCGGAGCATATGACTGCCAGTGCCAGATTAAGAATCACAAAACAAGCAATTGTTAAGTTTTGATACACTTCTTGTGCCACATATTAACATTTTACATCAGAAAATGTTCGAAAAAGTTCTTTTTTTCTTCATGAAAGATTAACTCATGCCCGTCAAAGGTACAAGGTACTACTCTTAGTCATGAAGGAGAGAGGATCAACACATCCAGAAACCTCCCATTGATTCCATGCTTATTAAAACAAAAAACAATAAAGATACGGGGACATAAAACCAAACCTCATGAATCATGTCACGTAGAGCTTGATCAATAGAATCAGATGAGACACCGCCACCAGGTTCACCATGATCATGGTTTCCACTGCCAAGTAGATCATCTTCTAGCTCTTTATATGCCAAAACTTCTTCTGTATCTGGAGTCATATGATTCATTGCAGCAGCAGAAGCAGTGTGATCATCTCCAGGACTAGAGGCAATGTAGCCACTATTACCAGGATCAGCTAAATCATCACAGACTGATGTACCCTCAGGCTTCTTTTTATCAGACTTAGAATCAACTGGCTTACACTTCAGGAGGCAGATAACATAGTCCCTCTTCAGATCCCTCTCCTGACGGGGACTAGAACCCTGCTTAGGTTTAGTGCAATAGTACTCGTGTATGATCCAGCCAGTCCTAACGGATTTAGACGCACCACCTTCTTGGAAGGTCTTGGTTTGGAAGGTTAATGTCCTCTTTTTGCAAGTGAAGTATTTCAAGCTGATATCCCGCGGCTTGCCTGTGATCTTCCAGAAGCCATGCTCTGTGACTCTGTTGCAGCGAAGACTATTTATGTATTTGTAATCACACCAGCTGAAGGAGTACCACGCCTTAGCTTGAAAAACAGAATCAGGGAACATGCGTTCTGCAACACAAAGCAAGATAATGAAAATTTATAACGACTAAAGATTATATTGGATTGAATAACTCATTAGATTCAGGGTCCATTCGGTGCCTAGGATTTGATTGAATTGGATAACTCACAATCTTTAAGCTATGTTGATGGGATAAATGAAAAAAATTTGTCCACTTTGAAGGTAGAAGATGGATTACTCATAAGGAAACTTATTTCTTCCAATCACTACAAAATTGGCAGGATTTGAAGGAATAAGTTTCCTTCATGTCCAATCGCACCTAATACCATCAGACATACCTTGAATGTGATGAGATATCCAACACAATCCAATCCTTCACACTGAACGATCCCTCGATGTAAGTTGAAGGAAGAAAAGAATGCAACTTCCAAGTTGAAGGTAGAAGATGGATTATTCATCAAGCCAACTTATCCCTCCTAATCCTACCATGGAAGGATTGGAAGGGACAAGTTTCCCCCATGACTAATTGATCTTCTACCTTCAATTGGGCACAAAATATCGGAAACTAACATCTATATCTTCATTCAACCTTGTAACTCCTCCATCCAATCTAATCCTAGACGCCAAACGAGGACCTAGTCTTGAACAAATAAAACAATACTACGCATGCACAAAAATCATACCGTGAAAAATAATATATACCTGGGTTTTAAAGAAAATGTGAGATAGAATAATGGGTTACCAGGTAAATCCCAAGGCTCGAACTTGCAGACATCGATGACAGGGAGGAAGTGGCAGGCTTGGGATTTGTGACTTTTCATCTTCTTCCTCAAGAAGTCTGCCATTTCCTTTTCAGTGGGATGGAATCTAATCGCAGCCACCATGTCCGGCAACGATTGTGCGGTTGTTGTTCTGGTGGTGGTGCTGCTGTTTTCCATCCCTCCTCCTCCTCCTTCAAATGTTTTATAATTTTTATTTTTTTTTGGTGAAGAAATGTTTTATAAAATTGTAAAGAAGAAAACCAGATGTTTTTGTCTTCAGAAAACAAAGCAGAAGAAGTAGAGAGTAAAGTGAAGTTGTATATAAAGGTAAAGTCAGTGCCACTGTGCTCCTTGACTTCCAAAGAATCCAAGTCCCGATTCTTGAGCTGCCAGCCAAATCAAGTTTTCTTGTTGGTGATGGAAATGGCTTTGAGTATGGACCCCATCCACTATAATCGTGTTTTTAATTTACGAGTAACGTTGGGGAAATTAAATTTGTAAACTCAATTATACGTGGCTGTTAATAATTGGATTATTACTTAAAAATTAATGAACATACTTATTTATTGTTGGTGACATATCATTTTATTTATAAATTTAGTTTAAAATTTTGATCATTCTAACTTTATCCGTTACTTTAACACGTTATTTAAGTTTATAATTTTGTCCAGCGATGGGAATCTTATGATTCTTATCAGCCCCTCTCAAAAGGTTGAGCTTTATTAACCTTGTCCAACATTTTTTGGAGGTAAACATACGGGAGAAGTCGAGAGAACTTTCTAGACTCTAAAACATGGGACCTTTGCTCACAAGTCACAAGAAATAATTGTTTAGAGTAGAGTGACAAGAGTGTAGTTCTAACTATCAGAACCGGATAACGACCAAAGTGAAGGGTTGTGGGACCAAAGAGTCAGTATTCGTCCGTACGAGGGATCGCCGAATTTCTTAACAGATGTGTATAATTTAGATGATTCGTTATACTCATGCGGTACCATATATTTGATTACGTGACATGTTGCATGAAATGTATTCTTTGATCAGATCAAAAATATTATTATTAAGCCTATGAATCCCATATAAAAAAAATAAAAAATATTATTATTAAGCCTATGAATCCCATATATATATAAAAAAAAGAGAACTTCAATGAAAAGCTCCCGGTACTGTTCACTTTAACGAAAAACCACATTTTTACACTAAAATGTCATTCATGGTACTATTCACTTTACCCTTTATTTTGTCCTTATTGTTAAAACTCAAAGTTTTCAAGCCATTTTCATTAGTTTTCCTAAAAAAAACAGAGACAATGCATATGCATATAGAAAATTTGACTGCTATTTATATTATTAATTAGAAGTGAGATAATTTTTTCATACTACTTTTAGTCACTCTCATAATTTCTTTTATTTTTAGCCGTCAGATTAAATAAACTAAAAGCAAATAACTTACAAGACTTAACATAAATATGTAAGAGGTTAAAAAGATTGTATATTATCATTTCTCTTGATTTGACGGTATAACCTCACTTCTTCATAGTTGAGAATACGAATTAGTTACAATGCTACAATTTTTCTGTAATGAATTTTCTAGGTGATGAATTTGAAGCAGCCTAGTAAAATAGAGATGAATACTATTAGACTGATAGTTTGTTTATTTATATATTTATTTTGACAACAATTTTAGAATGGCCTGTACTTTATATGCGTTTGATTACCATAATATTTTTATACTGGCAGTTAGTGTTGGGAGACTTTTAGGTTTAGGTGGACTTAGGCTTTGAGAATATCCTCTTGTCTCCCTTGGTTCGGTTTTGTACCATGTTCCGAAATATCGCGAAAGAGTTAGCATGTCTTAGGAAATATCCCGGTTGGATCAATGACTCGAAGATAATATAAATAAGCAAATAATGGCTTGCTCAAGTGGGGCATGGTGTGGAAGCTAGAAGTTTATCAGTTTTGCATGAAAGAGAGAGAGCTTGGGTGATTGTATGGTGTTTGCTGTTGGATAATATGGGCTTCCTAGGGTGGCAGCAAGGCTTACGATGGCTGGAATACTCAGAGGGAAGTTATGGAAAATACTCTATTTGCATGATGCCGTTTTGGGTTTCTTTTGGTTCTTTGCGTGAAGCTGGGGGATTAGGGAATCCTTTCTCTATGGTTCTCAACCTATATTTGTAGCTGAATGATTCATTCTCAAAGAATCTCTAGTTAGGGCTTGTTTCTCCCTCCTCTTTCTCCCTAGTTCCAAAGACTCAAAGTCCTAACTCTTGAGCTGCCAGCCAAACCAAGTTTTCTTGATGGTGATGGTGAGATGGCTTTTAGTGTGGACTACACCCACTTCCGATCATTTCTTTTACTTTAACGCGTTAGTTAAGTTTATAATCCATTTTGTCCCGTCGTGGGAATCTTATCAGCCCCGCTTGAAAGGTTGAGCTTTAGTAACTTTCTCCAATATTTTTGGGAGGGAAACATACAATCGAGAGAAGTCAAGAACATTCTAGAGTCTGATACATGGGAAGCTTTGCTCACAAGTCACAATAAATCATTGTTTAGAGTAGAGTGACAAGAATGTAGTTCTGACTG